AAGTCACTGATGCTAGTAATCACCAGTTCATTCACTGCTTCAACTTTTTAGTCAAAAGGCAACAGTCACATTCAGACATATAAAAAAGTACAAAGATCCCATTCCCCTCCAAAATGAACCCATCCACCCAATTTCCTACCGGAGGCATCCATCCTTTTAAAATTCCAGAACATTTTCAAAAGAGCTAACGCAGAAGTCCTTCAGCTGCAAAAACTTACCAGACTTTATAAATTTCACTCTGCAGCTGTAGGAATCCTACTCACCTGAATATCTCAAACCTTTCCCTCACCATTTCCTCCCCTGTAAACAAAACAATTTGTTCACTTGATTCCTTTTTGTCTGAAGATCATATTTCACATCAACTGCATTTATTAATGCTCAATTCCCCAAGACCTAATCATCAGCGCAACTGTTAATGAGGCATCTACAAAGGAAACACTTTGTTTTCCTACAATTTATCACTAAATTAAGCAAATGTAGAAATTCTCCAAAGTGGTTTATTCGTCTCTCCATATGGATTACCGTCAACATGTTTTGCCTGTATGTGTACCTGCTAAGGATTACACCCAGTGCACACTGAGCTACACCTAGCCCACTAAAAAACAAACAGAAAAACCCACCAAAGACCTGGGTGCCACCTCAGACAAAACAGGATTTTTAAACTGACATAATAACTGAGTTTTATGCACACAATCAATATGAACTTCTAAAAGAAACCCTGGGCCTGAATCCCTATTCTGCCATTCACTGGCTACCAAACTTGAATAAACTACTGCTCAGCCCATTCAACTATAAAACAGCAGTAGTACCTACGCTTCACTAGACTATTGCAGGATTATTTAAGTGCCTGGCCTGCTGCTTCACAGTTAAACATCCACTAGTGGCAACTGTTAGGAGTGGATTTTAAGGGCCTTAAAAAAAAAAAAAAAAAATCAATGACAAAATACCTGACCCTTAAAGGCAGAAAACTAAGTCATGAATGGAAGACTGTAATCTTTTCCAAAGTCAACAAAGGCTTCTCAAAGTTTAATACTATCCTAGAGTAGTCCAGAAAAAAGGCCCAGATCAGTTGTTGTTGTTATTGTTGTTGTGTGGTGGTGGTGGTGGTGGTGGTGGTGGTGGTGGTGGTGGTGTGTGTGTGTGTGTGTGTGTGTGTGTTTCAGAGATTTTGTTTATTTTTGAGACAGGGTCTTGCTATGCAGTACAGGCTGGCCTTGAACTCATGGTGATCCTCCTGCCTCATCCTCCCCAGTGCTGGGATTACAGGCATGCACCTAAAACCTCCCCATTTTCTTAAAAACTAAATTTTTAAACATAGTACCATCCTAAGAACGGTATTTCCTATAAAGGATGATTTAAAAACAGATGGAGAAAAGGGAAAAATATCTAACATCAAATATTACTTCCTCATGATAATTTTAGTAAGTCAATCTAATCGAGGAAACAAGTTCACATGATTTTTTTTTTTTTTTTTGGTTTTTCTCTGGTACCGGGAACCGAACTCACGACCTTGTGCTTGCCAGGCAGGCGCTTTTGCCGCTGAGCTAAATCCCCAGCCCTCACATGATGTTTCTATCAGTTCTTAGCACATTTTTTAAACATAAAGACTGCAGGGCCCAGGGCCTGGGAAATAGCTCAGCAGCATAAGTGCCTGCCTAGCAAGTGCAAGGTCCTGAGTTCGATTCCCGGTACAAAAAAAAAAGACTGCAATGCCACATATAGGTTTGTATTTTAGACATGAATAAAAAAGACAGGAGACTGATTGTTCTTTAAATCTTAGCACTTTACAAATAGTATCAAGCAAACTAGTTTTGATTCCTGGATCTGCTTATACCAAGAATCTAAACAAATGAAATAGCGTCTATAAAAAATCCACTAAATTTTTTGTTTGTTTGAGACAGGTTCTCCCTATGTAGTCCAGGCTGGCCCTGAACTTTGCAGCAATCCTCCTGCCTCAGCCTCCCCAGAGGAGCTCATTAAATGGTTAACACAATTTGTAACTGTAGAACAGTCAGATGAGAAACAAATTCTTTTTACAGGTGATTTTTCAGCCCCATGCATGCTAAGCTTATACACTGAAAAAGACACCCTTCCTTACTCTACATTCCTTCAAAATGTACAGAATTCTAAAAAACAGGGAAACTAAAGACATACAAAAAAAAAAAAGACCAAGCCCAGTACTAAGGATCGAAGTCAGGGCCTTCCAACTAAGCAAAGTCCCCAGCCCTTTCTATTTTGAGACAGGGTCTTCTAACTCCTTAAATTACTCAGGGTAAATGTAAACTTTTGATCCTCCTGCCTCTCTGCCTTCCAGAGTGCAGGCATGACAGCTGAGTACCCCATCCCCAAGCCTCTGATGAGATTTTTTAATGCAATATTTAAAAAGAATCAAATGGAAGGCCGGGCATGGTGGTTCACACCTGTACTCCCAGCACTCTGGAGGCTGAACAAGAGGATCCTTCCAAGTTTGAGACCTGCCTGGGGCTACAAAGTGAGCTCAAGGCCAGCTTGAACTGCATAGCAAGACCCTGTCTCAAAAAAAGAAAAAAAAAAAAAAAAGAAGGACTGGGATATAGCTCAGAGGTTCTGAGTTCGATTTCTGAGTACCCACCCCTCCAAAAAAGACACACATACAAAAAGGTAATCTCTACTACCTTAAAAATATCAGAACCTGCCTAGACAATTTACTAAATCCATGAGGACCTTCCTCTGCAACAGTGTCACAGCTAATCACTACTCTTTTAAAAATCCCAAGTATTGTACTATATTAGTCAGGTGTCAATAGGGTACGCCAGCCAGTAGACTCAGTTACTCCAAAGGCAGAAGCTAAACCCTGTTTGGAAAATCAAAATCCTCCAAGTGTCAGCACCAGTTAAACATATCAGTAGTTGAAACAGGTGGTTAACTTTAGTCAATTTTATATGAGGGGCTGGGGATTTAGCTCAGCGGCAAAAGAGCCTGCCTGGCAAGTGCAAGGTCATGAGTTCGGTTCCCCGTACCGGAGAAAAACAAACAAACAAACAAAACCAAAAAAAAAAAAAAAAAAAAAATTTTTTTATATGAGACTTTGTAATTTCCTAAATTGTGGGAAAGAAGCCCATTACAAAAGAACACACTGTATCGTATCTACATGAATGTCTGCAATATGAGAATCTATAGTTTGTGGCTGTCCAGGGTTTGAAAGGAGTATCAGCTTATGAAATAACTATTAATAGGTACAGTATGTCCTGTTTTGGGATGATAAAGAATATCTTAAAATTAGAACTCTGTGGGAAATCCACTGAAACACCCACTTAGGTGGGAAAAGTTGAAGCCAGCTATGGCAGCACAACACATAGTCAAAGTACTGGGAAGGCTGAAGCAGGATTTCAAGTTTGAGGGCAGACTGCACAATTTAACAAGACTCATCTCAAAAAATAAGGGCTAGGGCCGGGCTTGGTGGCGCACGCCTGTAATCCCAGCACTCGGGAGGCTGAGGCAGGAGGATCCTTGCGAGTTCGAGGCCAGCCTGGGCTACAAAGTGAGCTCAAGGCCAGCCTGAACTGCATAGAGAGACCGTCTCAAAAAGACAAAAAAAAAAAAAAAAAAGGGCTAGGGGTTGGGGATTTAGTTCAGCGTCACAGCGCCTGCCTGGCAAGTGCATGGTCCTGAGTTCGATTCCCAGTTGGGGGGGGGGGAGCGGAATAAGAGCTAGCCAGGTGGTATGCATGCCTGTAATTCCAGCACTTGGGAGGCTGAGGTAGGAGGATAGCAGAAGAATTTGAGGCCAGTCAGGGGAACATAGTCAGATCTATCTCAAGAATAAATAGAAAATAAGGGATGATGATGTACCTCAGTGCAACAAAGGCTCTGGATTCAATCCTCAGTGCTGCAAAAATAAATAGGAGACGCTGACAGCTCATGAATTACATCCCAAAGGCGTTAGGAAGTATCACATAAGAGAATCAAAACTCCAGATTATGATACAAGGGAAGAAGGCTGAAAAAAATCTGTCGTCTGATTCAAAAGGAAAAACTATTAATTACATACTGCTTTACAGGAAAGTCTGTGCTGTCTTTTCAAAATCCACTAAAATCCTACTGCTTCAAAGTTAAAATTTTGAGGCCAGGAGTGATGGCACACGCCTGTAATCCCCGCACTTGGGAGGCTGAGGCAGGAGGATCGTTGTGAGTTGAGGCCAGCCTGGGCTACAAAGTGCGCTCAAACCAACCTGAACCGCATAGTAAGACCCTGTCTCAAAAAGATGAAAAAAAAAAAGTTAAGATTTTGATACACTTTTCTTTAGCAATTTTAAGCCATACAACTTCAAGAGGCAGTAGAGCTTTGTTTTTAAAACTGGAAATATAAACAATTTGTATTTATATACATTACAGGAACCTCTTCTTTTGCCTGTCCTTTTTTGTATTATAGTCATGAAGATTACCAATATACATCTCTCTAGTTCTAAAGGCCCCAAAACAAAACAACCCCAACACCACCAGATGACTAGACAGCCTTACACGTTATCTAACAGGCTTAGTTCCTGGTTTAAACACTACTATACAATATTCCTAAAAACACGCTTTGCTACCAAAACAAAATAAACTGTATTTTGAAGCATGACTGCCACAACCTTAAATGCAAAGGGGAAAAAATCTACACAAAATACTGCTCTTGGAGCTTTAAGACGTAGTTAACAATTAATTCAGTTCTCTACATATACATTTTTACCATCACGGGTTGTTTTAACAGCTGTCTCCCCAAAATAAAACTACTTTAAAAGCATTCTAGCCCACGTGTGCCAAACTACACAAAAACCAAAGCTAAGCGGTACAACCCCCGCCCTAAGGTTCAAAGAGTCGCATCACAGTTGACTGGGCTCCAACGACCTGTTTAAAACAAGCCCATTTCACATTTGTGCGTGATCTGCGACCCACTCTTCTGTTCACAAAACCCGAGTCTTTCATAACCCTTTAAGGCGTGGAAAGAAGAGAACGCCCCTGCGGGAAATGCGTACGTACTCTTTTCGAAGTTCCAACTGTGGGCGCTAAGGGCCGGCTAAGCGTCCTTTCCTCCTCCCCGCAGACTCGGCTCACCTAGCCGCCCCGAGACCCCAGAGCTCGGGCGCTCCCCTCCCGCGCGCAGCCAGGCCCGGCGGACAGCCCGCCAGCGGGCGGCGGGACGACAAAGGGGGCGCCCGCCTCCTTTGTCCTGGGTCGGGCGCCGGGCGCCTCCGCCGCCATTGGCTTCCGCCCCGGCTCCGGCCTCTCGCCGCGGGAATCTGCGTCA